CAATTTTGGAAAATAGAGAAAGTACCAGAAATTGAGGACTGGATACAAAAAGTTCTGTTCATGGCAGAGATGGACAAAATTACGAAGAAGTTGAACAACAAAGAAGACGACGTGTTTTTTCAAGAATGGAGTGACTTTAAAATATATCTGGAAAAGAACTGGGATGTGAAACAAAACTTAATATGTTTAGATCAATATTAAGTCAAATGATGTTATTTTTAGATTGTATTGATAAGAAACTGATATTGTTGATGATATGAAGTAATTTGGAGCAGGGGTGGAAGCATTGTGGGAAGCCATTGGAGGGAGGGGAGGAACTGGGAATGGGGTAGACAATTGATAGAATGAAATGATTTAATCTTACATGTTGTATTCCTGAGAAAATAAAATTTGTTTACCAAAAAAGAAAAGAAAAGACCAAGGGTTCAGTAGCACCTTAAAGACTAACAAAATATGAGTCAGGGTATGAGCTTTCATGAGTCACTGCTCACTTCTTCAGATACAGCTAAAATGGGTGTCCAACTGTCCTATTTATTGGAAAAAGAAGTGATTTCAGATGCCTGATGACATTAGCAGGCAAATGACAATAGCAAGTGAATGACAATAGCAGATGTGATTGGATTTAGATGAGATATGCAGAGGGGTAATAGGTATGAGAAATCAGCATTGGTAATGAGACAGGAAACCTAGGTCTTGATTCAAACCAGGTGGATGCATTGTCTTAAAACTAGCAGAGTACTAAACCCCTAAAAATAGGTTGTGACTAAGTTCACTGAGAACTTTTATTTCTCAATCAGTGGGATTACTGGCTACAAAACACATGAGAAAAAGTAGTTCTCCAATGGAAGAAATAAATATCCAGGGCCACAGAGAGGGAGGACTGGGGGGACAAAATTCTGGAGGCCCAAGTCACCCAAAATTCTGGGCCCAAGCCAGCACTATGCTTTATTCCTGGAAGGCATTTTAAAAAATTATGCAGTTCTGACTGTGCTATGGAGCAGATGGTCACGGAACCTACCAGGGGAGAGGCGATCCTTGATTTGGTCCTAAGTAACACTCAAGACCTGGTGAGAGATGTAAAAATGATTGCACCGCTTGGGAACAGTGATCATAATGTTGTTGAGTTCAACATTTGTATAAATAGGGAATTGTCCAAAAAGACTGACACAACCACTGTTAACTTTAAAAGGGGTAACTTCTCTGATATGAGGGGACATGTGGGGAGGAAACTGAAAGGAAAAGTAGAAAGGGTCAAAACCATTGGGGAAGCTTGGAAACTATTTAAAACTACAATCCTAGAAGTGCAAAAAAAAAAAATATTCAGGTTAGGAAAGGCACAAACAGGTATAGGAAAAAGCCTGCATGGTTAACAAACAATGTAATGGAAGGTAAAAAGGATTCCTTTAAGCAGTGGAAAGCTAGTCACAGTGAGGCTGATAAAACGGAACACAGGCTATGGCAAATAAAATGCAAGTCTTTGGTTAGGCAGGCAAAAAGGGAATATGAGGAGCATATAGCAAAAAACGTAAAAACCAACAATAAAACTTTCTTCAAATACATTAGAAGCAGGAAACCAGCCAGGGAGGCAGTGGGGCCCTTGGATGACCAAGGGGTAAAAGGACTACTGAAGGATGATAGGGAAATGGCTGAGAAGCTAAATGCATTTTTTGCCTCCGTCTTCACTGTGGAAGATGAGAAGTGCTTGCCCACTCCAGAACCGCTGATTTAGGGAGGGGTGTTGAAAGACCTGAGTCAGATTGAGGTGACGAGAGAGGAGGTCCTAAAACTGATAGACAACTTAAAAACTGAAAAATCACCAGGCCCAGATGGCATACATCCGAGAGTTCTGAAAGAACTCAAATGTGAACTTGTAGATCTCCTGACAAAGATATGTAATCTTTCCTTAAAATCTGCCTCCATTCCTGAGGATTGGAAGGTAGCTAATGTCACTCCCATCTTTAAAAAGGGTTCCAGAGGAGATCCGGGAAATTACAGGCCAGTCAGTCTGACATCGATACCGGGTAAATTGGTGGAAACCATTATTAAGGAAAGAATTAGTAGGCACATAGATGAACAAAACCTATTGAGGCAGACTCAGCACGGTTTCTGTAAGGGAAGATCTTGTCTCACTAACCTGTTAGTGTTCTTTGAGGGGGTGAACAAACATGTGGACAAGGGGGATCCAATAGATATTATTTACCTTGACTTCCAGAAAGCTTTTGATAAAGTTCCTCATCAAAGGCTCCTAAGTAAGCTCAAAAATCATGGGATAGAAGGACAAGTCCTTTTATGGATCAAAAACTGGCTAGTTCATAGAAAACAGAGAGTGAGTGTAGGTGGGCAATTTTCTCAGTGGAGGGTGGTAAGCAGTGGGGTACCGCAGGGATCAGTACTTGGTCCACTGCTTTTTAACTTGTTCATTAATGATTTGGAGATGGGAGTAAGCAGTGAAGTGGCTAAATTTGCGGATGATACAAAGTTGTTCAGGGTGGTGAAAACCAGTGAGGATTGTGAGGCACTCCAAGGGGATCTGTCAAGGATGGGCGAGTGGGCGTCAACATGGCAAATGGGGTTCAATGTGGCCAAGTGCAAGGTGATGCACATTGGAGCCAAAAATCCTAAATATAAATACACATTGATGGGGTCTGAACTGGCAGAGACTGAGCAAGAGAGAGATCTTGGAGTTGTAGTGGATAACTCACTGAAAATGTCGAGACAGTGTGTGACTGCAATAAAGAAGGCCAATGCTATGCTGGGGATTATTAGGAAGGGTATTGAAAACAGATCAGCCAATATAATAATGCCCCTATATAAATCAATGGTGAGACCTCATTTGGAATACTGTGTGCAGTTCTGGGCACCACACCTTAAAAAGGATATTATAGCTTTGGAAAAAGTGCAGAAAAGGGCAACTCGAATGATAAAAGGGTTGGAACACTTTCCCTATGAGGAAAGGTTAAAGCGCTTAGGGCTCTTTAGCTTGGAGAAAAGACGACTGAGGGGTGACATGATCGAGGTTTATAAGATTATGCATGGGAAAGAGCAGGTAAAGAAAGAGGTACTTTTCTCCCTTTCTCACAATACAAGAACTTAGAACTTTGGCACCCACTATTCAATTATATATAAGGAGAGATACATGGGATAGAACAGGTAGAGAAAGAGGTACTTTCCCCCCTTTCTCACAATACTAGAACTCATGGGCACTCCATGAAATTGCTGAGCGGTCGGGTTAGAACGGATAAAAGGAAGTACTTCTTCACCCAAAGAGTGATTCACACATGGAATTCACTGCCACACGAGGTGGTGGCGGCTACAAGCATGGACGGCTTCAAAAGGGAATTAGATAAGCATATGGAGTAGAGGTCCATCAGTGGCTATTAGCCACAAGGTATAGATAGGGACTCTGGGGCAAGTGATGCTCTGTCTTCTTGGTGTTAGGGGGGGTCAACAGTGGGAGGGCTTCTAATGTCCTGGCCCCACTGGTGGACCTCCTGATGGCACTGGTATTTCTGGCCACTGTGTGACACAGAGTGTTGGACTGGATGGGCCTTTGGCCTGATCCAACATTGGCGTCTCTTATGTTCTTATGTTAACATGGGGAACAGGAACTGTAGTAGGAAGGGGTGAGGCAGTGCGTGGAAAGTGGCTGGCTGGATGCAACCCCATGGATATCACCCAACAGCTTAATTCTTTGTATGTTTGTTATTACAAGCAAAAGGAATGGATTTATCTAGGTCTTTGGGAAACCTAATACAGAAATGGCCATGAGCTCAGCAATGTTTAGGGACAAAATGTATACAAAATGTATACTCCAGATTACAAAGGCCTGCTAAGAGGCAATGACCAGAGCCCAAGTATTGGTGGGTGAGTACAGTTTCATGGGGGCAGAGCCCCAAAGGAGCCTTGCTGGGGTTGCTAGTCCATTACATGATACAGGCTAAATATGTAATTTCTGGAATTATGTCCTTTCTTTTTGTTTGTTTCAAGACATGGTTTATGGGATATTTGTGCATGTTGGGAACAGAGCAGTTTAGGCTTGCTACTGGTTCCTTCTTTATTTCAAAAATACAGATAAACTTTTAACAAAGACATTATATTCTACCAAAGTCTGAGTTACTGCCTGAACTCTCCCTAGAAACTAATATTACCAAACTGAGATTATTGTACTTTGGTCACATTATGAAGAGTCACCAGAAAAGACAATCATGCTAGGAAAATAGAATCAGGTGGGTAGTATTGTTTGTCTGAAGCAGCAGAACAAAGTTTGAGTCCAGTAGTATTTTTAAGGCTACTCTGACTCAATGTTTGTCATGCTAGGAAAAGTTGAAGGCAGCAGAAAAAGAGGAAGATCCAGCCACGGCCCTCCCTTTGCAAAACCTTGACTAAAAGTTTGTTGGCCTTAAAGGTTCCACTGGACTCAAACTTTGTTCTGAGCAAAGCTATTAACGATGTTTTGGAGGCCATTAATTCACAGGGTCGCCACCACACAGGAATTATTACGCATGAGCTAGTACAAACGTGGTCGTTTGAAGCCGTGGCTGTGTTTCACTCCGGATTAACAGTGCAATCCTAAACCCTTCCGAATGCACTAAAATCAATTAACCCCTCAAAGACTGCATTGTATAAAAGTGCTCATTATGGATGGTGGTAACTGTGTCCCACTGGTTCCACATTAATGCATACACAATACAAATATGTGTATCAGAGCGGTGACTGCGACCGCTTTACTGAAACCCCTTTAAAACTGTAAACTAGATCTGCGCCGGGATGTTCGGCGTCCGGTCCACACAGCCCGGTTGCCATTGGTAATCACCCTGTGACGTCACCGTTTTCCAAGCTCCTAAAATCCCTCCGCGTTTCTCCTTCTCTGACCGAACATCCCCCCGCCTCATCGCATGCGATCTTCCTGATCACGTGACGTCCTGTAGCTGCCTCCTCTCGCGCTCTGCCGTTTCTTTCTTGTCACGTGGCCGCAAAGCCGCCGGTTGCCGGAACTACGTCACACGCTCGGGCCTGGCACTTTCTGAGTCCGCCCGCTCGGAACTTCGGTTCGAAACAAAACAAACCGCGGGGGTGGGAGACGCTGGGGCCGCTGGGGGGAGGGGGCCGGTGAGTGTCCGCGG